TAATCTATGTTTTTGTGATATGTTTGTTGATATGATTAGATATTGATTTAACTATACAAACTACTGGTAGAGAAGGCTCGTTTGGCAAACGAGAATGAAACATATTCAAGAGAGAATAGATTCCTGAAGGAAACAGTGGAATATCATCAACTAACGATGCAGGATGTGGTGTATCTAGATGACGAAATGGAAGAAGTTGATGAATTTTATCCAATAGATGGTGATGGAATCACTACAATGTTCTCTTGCTTTCTTCCTTACCCGCTGAACTTTGTCCATCACTAAGTCCTTCTTAATTGTCACACACTAATCTACCTTAGCATAACAAGACTGCTGTCTCGTCAGTTTCTTAACACGATAATGATCCTGTAAATTAATCTCTCTAAATTTATATACTCATATGTATATAGTCTAAATGTGTCCAAATGCTTTTGCTTTTGTTTAACAACATTTTGTTTTCTTGACTAGGGTCATTATAGTTCAATGAATAATCAAATTATAAAAAGGTTCAAGGTTTGTCATTGCTTATAGGTGAGCATGTTATCGACCTTTAGATCTAGGACTAGCTAGTTATTTTTGCTCACCAAATGCATATATCCTTTCCAGCTTCATTTTACATAGTTGTATAATCAAACTTTACATGATGAAATGTGGTTTAGCTAGATTTTGTTTCATATAGGCCAAGTTCTATTACTTTGAAATTTAAACTATTTGGTTGCATTTTCTCTAGTGTTATTATACTCATGCCACCACTGAATCTCATCTGCCATGAACAATGGCTACAGACAAGAAAGGAGTCTGAAGATTATTCTATATAGAATATATAGTGACCTCATGAATTAAGTAATGGATGGAAAGCTACATACAATTGTTGGTAACAGGAATTTTGCTAGAGTAAAAGATGCAAAAGGGCTAAGAGTAGGATAAGGCTGGGAGGGAAGTTCAGAGGAAGATAGACGAGCATAGAAAAACACATTCTTATGGTGTGATACATTCAAGTTCTTCCAACAACTCTCTCATGGTCTTAATAATTTTTGTAAGTTTAGTTTAAGTAAAATTATTTTTTTTTAATTTTAGGCAAAATACTATCACTAGTCCTTATAGTTTTTTAAAAAATTGGATAACATTTATTTTTTGAGTCCCTATAATTTAATTTTTTTTCAACATTTTTAATTCCTGTAAAGACTAAAAAATATTAAAAAAAATAGACTAAAAGCAAACTATAAGGACTGATAATTATGTTTCCCTTGTTAGAATATTTACTTATGAATTTACATTAATTAATAAGCCCAAACAGATTGGTCTTTATAGTCTTATGTGGATTATGATAGGTGGACCACACAAGTGAGCCCAATGGGTAGAGGCCCAACCTATAACCCTATAGTCATCAATTATTCTCTATCTCTTAACTAACTGAGTCAAAGATAATGTAATATAATTAATTAATTTATTTATTAAAAGCGATTACTGATTTAGTCCATATAAGCCAATCAGCTAATAACTACAAACACATGATAGTTTTTATTTATCTTCATTATCTCTGAACTCTCTATAAAATTATGGGGTTTTTGTAGGTAGTGCATCTGTTTATACTCGAGGTAATCGAGGTATCTCAAGCAATAATGAATTCTTCAGGTACGTAACTTTGTTATTATTAGAGTTATATGAATTGAGATATTAAGGTTAACAAAAAGTACATTCCTTTTCCTCTATCTAACAGCAACGACCTTCTTTTGAGCTCCTCTTTAATCATCAGTGTTAGCTTCCTCTCTCCACCGAAAATCCCAAAACTGAAAAATCAAAGAAAAACATAGACTCAAAACCTTCAAGAGCAATATTCTAAAACTGTAAAAAGAGGGAAATTCATCATGAGGACTTCATTGATGCTGATGATGATAGGGACATCAACAACAAATGGCACTTTTGTTTGAATTGGGTCTAGGGCTTGAGCCATCCATGGGGATGCTAGCTAAAGTAAGTGCAAACATTGACCATGGAAATATATAATTCCAGCCTGATGAGGCTTCACATGGCTGCCCAATACGCGAGTTCTTGGTGATATGATAAGCATAGTCCTTACTTGTAACAATCTAGGTTCTGCAAATGGGAGCTCAAAGAATTGTGAGCACGCAAGGCTGAGGGGAGCACAAAATAGATGGCCGGGTGTTTCATGTTTGTTTCTCTTATTACTCATAAGGTTAAACAAGTAATTTTGTCAAAAAAATTTATGCCAATGAACTCTCTTTAGACTTCATAATAATAGGAAAATTAATCATTTGATCCTTTAGTTTTGATATAATTGTAATTTAATCCCTAAATTTTGACTCGTTGTAATACAATCCTTATAGTTTTAAGTCCCTATAGTTTGACCACTTAAATATTAGTTCCTATAATTTAAAAAATAAAATTATAAAGATTAAAAATATTTTGAACTTTTAATATTTGCAATATTTAAAGATTAAGAGATTAAAATTATAATATTTTGAACTTCTAATATTTATAATAGGGAAAATGACAATAAAGTCCCTCTAAAATATATAAATGACAATTTGATCCTCAAAATGCTATAATTTCCCCTAAAGTTTCGAGAGACTTTTCTGTCAGTAATAATTTGAACCCAATGCACAGCGGCCCAACCTACAACCAGTAGCCGTTAGTTATTTTCTATCTCTTAATTGACTGAATCAAAGATAATGAAATATAATTAATTAATATAGTAGTTACTGATTTGGTCCATATAAAGCGATTAGTCAATAACCACAAACACACGATAGTTTTCATTTACTCCATTATCTCTAAACTCTTTACAAACTATGGGGGGTTCAGTGGGTTGTGCATCTGTCTATACTCAAGATAATCGAGCTATCTCAAGTGATCATAGATTCTTTAGGTACACACATTATTTTACTCAATCTTATTTGATACATGAATTGAGATATACAGTTAACATCTCTTAATTTTAAAAAACTTGACCCTTAATTTTTCCTAATATTCCTTGATGTTAATAATATATCAAAATCAAATTTTATTTTAAAAAGTTAATGTAAAATTAATTAAATTTATTAACAAGTATAAATTTTTAGTAGTCTTGTTTTAATTAGAAAAGGAAGAGGAATAGAGAAGACTCCATGTTCGGAAATTATGCCATTGATTTTTTTCCTCTTTGATTTTCGCCCACGAATTTTCTATGGCTTAGAGGGTCATTTAGATACATTTTAATTGAATTCTCACTAAAGTAATTGTATCACGTTGTTTCATTTAAAAGTTTCTCCTCCTATTTCTATTTGTTGCTTGGTGTATATGTATTTATATATGGCTATTATATAAAGCCAATAACCTGCTTTCATTCCCTTTTTATATTTAATTTGATCGTGAACATATTACATAGCCGCACAATAATATTAATAAAAGTAACTCTTAACATATCGAGAAGGTAGAACGTTGAAGTATAAAAATAATGGTAAATGCTAAATATATCAGTCCGCAGAAAGAACGTTATTTATGGCTCTCCAAAAGGCCTTTCATTGAGTACCAATGCAGAATGTCAAGCAGAATTAACCCAAATCTTGTTCTCATAAAAAATTTGCCCTCGAGGTTCACTGTTTCATGCAAAACGACGCTTCAAGGGATAATTTTCGACGAGTGGGACTATATTTTGATAGAATAAAACGAGTTTTAAGAATTTTGCTAGTAGTATTTGGAATTCAGCCACAATTAAGTTCCTCGCGAACAGAAAGTTGGAGTTTAATATCACTTATATCCTTATATTATTTATGCCCCTCTCATTTTAAAAACGGTTACGAGGTAAAACGTAAAAGAGGAAGTTACGCGGGGTCCAGCCCACTCACAGCATAAGGCCACGTTGGCAAACATCATTATCGTTCGTTGGCCGCTGCGTTTATGGTTTTGCCTTCCTTGGGACCTCACTCTTCTCGTCTTTCTAAAATCTATTAAGGTCATATTTGATATATTAAAATTAGGTTTAAGAGAAATGAAATTGAAAATAAAATCATGATTTCAATGATTTGGTATGCATGAATTCAATTTAAGATAAATTCTAATTTTATCAAAATATCCATAATTCAATTTCATTTTCATCACGATGGAATTGTTACAATTCTATGGAATTGTTATAAGTGTCCCACATATATACTTCATTATGATGGTTGAATTTTTTATTTTTTATAAAGATATTTTGGTCTTTATCTATTTTAAATACATATATTTATTAATATTATATTTAAATTTTATTTTCATACTAAACATACATTTATAACTCAATTTTATTTTAATTTAATTTTAATTCCATCAAAAATTCTTCTATCATACCAAACAAGGCTTACATCATACCAAACAAGGATTACAGCATACATACATCGGACTCCATCTTTCCGGTTTCAACCATTGATTCTCTGCATGCTCGACACGTGTCTCCACCTGATCCCAATTCCTAATTCCACTCCATAAAATTGCTATCACTCTTTCAGATTATTCTTTCTCCCTTCTGTCCCCATCTTCGTTCATCAGTAAAATCTTTCTCCGCAAAATCTTTACTTCCTTAATTTTAGCTTCATCCCCTTAAAAATATCCACTTGTTTTTCCTTCCACTTCACCGTCTTTAATTTTTTATCTTCTTGGCTTCTTTTTCTCTGTTTACATATCTTCAAATTTTTATTTCTGATTCCCAGCGTATTGCTAGTGGACGAAGAGGATACTAAATTAAAAAAAAAATGAGAGGAAGAGGGGGAAATTACAAAGGAAGAAAATAATCCACAAGGTGTCCAACCTTTTTCGTTTTCCTCTCCTTATTACAGACGCCTCTTTATTGATGGTGCTCTGTTTCTCCTTGTTCTTTTGCAAGAACCGCACCACCTAAACCCCTTTTTTCATTTTTTTCATTTTTTGTTTTGTTTGCTGGTTTCTTCGAATCTTTAAAGTAAGATACAAGAGAAAGCCATGTCAGGTTTGTATAATCCCAACTTCTCCCCTGCTAGAGCCGCTTCGCCTCAGATTAGAAGCAACCCAGAAACCGAAAGGTGGGTTGGTATTGAATTTCTGATAATACATAACTAGGGTGGAAAAAAGAAAGATGGCGACTTGGTCCCATCTCGAAATTTCCATGGATTCAAGTTCGACATTTGATTTATGCTTTCGATTCAAAGGAAAAGACTTCTCGTTTTGCAGCCAGTACTTGTCGGAGCTGCTAGCAGAGCATCAGAAGCTTGGACCCTTCATGCAAGTCCTTCCGATATGCAGTCGACTGTTAAATCAAGGTCTCTTCCTTAGTCTCCTGTTGGTGGATCTACCTTTCTCCGTTTTTCACTTCTACTCCGTAGTACCATACTTGTGTTCAGATCGCATCTCAATTCTTTTAGCTCTCTCAACCTTAAACTAATGATTCTATTGGCTGTTTTCCTTGCAATGATCATTTTTTAGTCTCTTTGCAGCCATTGCCTGAACTGTGGTGCCACATTTGTCTTCTTAGTTCGCTTAATTCTGATGTTTTTCTTTGGGAAACTGGAAGCGTATTGGAAGTTAAAACTGAAATCAAGCCCGTTGTTGATAATGTCTGAACATCTGAGTTTGTTGTGGGTGATCCAGTTACCTAATCGATTATGCCTTTCACAAAATGTACTTTCATAATCTTGTACTAGATTATCAGTGTTTCTGCTCCATGATTTGTGGTTAATTTGACAATTAATGTGTGTATCAGTGCAAAGCAAACTGTTTTTTGGCAGCCATTCTCCCCAAATTTGAGTTTCTGCCATCTTCAGAGTCTGAGTAGTTTCTACTCTCGGGGTTAGTTTAAAATCTAAACAGATATTATAGTATATGCATTTTTGACGATATTGCGATGTAAAAAAGGAGTTTTTTTTTTTTTTCATATAAGAATTTGAGATGACATGTCAACGTACATTGCATAACTTCATTGGTTCCGTATAGTATATGGGGTTGGCAAAGAATCTCTGCTGACTTTCAGTTCGGGCCTTTTGGAGGATAGCTGTTAGCCTGCTGGAATACTATGCAGGGTAATGGTACTTGTAGCATATTGATACTTGACTGCAACAGATTTTCTTGATTCTAGATATTCAGGATTTGTTTATTCTCGTTGTTTGATAGGCCTTGCAAATGCAATGGAGTTTCTCTTTCAGTATGCAACCTTATTTGATATAGTGCATTATTGAATGATATTGAATGATTTTCAGATATAAATGATATTTTCTCTGATATATTTCATTTCTTAACGTCTCTTCTTCCACATTGCTTTATATACAAACTCCTCCAATCATTCTTCTACATTTTTAGTTGGGAAAAAGAGCAAATTTACCTTAAATTATTTTTCGAGGAGTATTTGGTATCCTATACTATAGGTGGAGCAAAATGATTCACCAACTATTTTTTCATAACACCCAGCACCTCCTGTTAAATTTACTCTGACATTCATTAGTTGACCATTTGGAGGAGCTTGGTTGACTGAAAAGTGATCTACCTAGCATCCACATGGAAAACTAAAAAGTGATATTGGGGCTTCTCCTACCGTTTTGTGAGAGATAAGAGAACGGGGAATGTGATGGATCCTGATTGATGAATCTGGTGGCACCCTTCACTTCGAATGAATTAGATTTGCATTGACAAACCAGAGCAATGGCAACGTGGTCTTTTACTGTTTAAATCCATTAGATCCATCACCTTGAAATCCAGGATGAAGAAAAACTTAATTGTCTACAAATCATCGACAGACAATTCCACAGCCTAAATGGGGAAAAAATGAAAATTACTTTTTTGAAAAACCAAGGATCAGTGAACTGAACCCATAAATTCTTGCATCAGGGTAAGAGGGGTTCATCGTGAAGAATCGTTAACTGAAAAAGCTTGTATCTCTGCAGTTGGATAAAGTTCATTTGTGCCTAAACGAAGGAGGAAAACGTGGCAAAATTAAGAGGGTAACTCAAATATACTTTTCTGATCTCTCTACTTGTGATTTCTGCAAAGTATTTGGGGTTGGAGATTGTCGAGCTGCCATGGCTGAACTACTTCAGAAAAATGGGGTTTGAAGAGATTAGAACAAAGAATCCAATCCATGCAACAGATTTTTCTCTGGTGGAGGTGCTGATCATCATGTCGGTTTCCTGCTCCAATGACTACTTCTGCGACTCCAACCTTTGCTGCGATAATACATCTGAATTTGGAATCTTGTCAGGAGATTTGTTGGAATGCTCTTTTGACCTTGATTCCTCATTATTGCCAATATTGCTGGAGGAGTCGATAATTGGATTCATTGAAGAGGTGCAATTAAAGAACTTATCTAGATTTTAATCTCACTTGCTTGATACCTCTGCCAGAGAAGAGATTAGAATAGAGAAGGCTAACACAAGAAGTCTATATGTCCGACACCCTACCACTTGTTAATTTCATGTGGGCCCCACAATATGGAATAAACGTCCGTTGGCATAAAACAGATGGTAGGGTCTGGGCACTATGAAAAAAATAGTTGATAAATTATTTTGCTCCACCCTATAGCATATGATACCAGATGTTTCTCAAAAAATAGTTCAAGGATAAATTTGCTCCTTTATCCTTGTTAGTATTATATATTACTTTCTTACTAAAATGTTTCTTTTTGTGCAGAGATATTAAGGGTTTCAGGAATGCTGTCCAACCAAGGATTTGGTGACTTTGATAGACTGCGGCATAGAAGCCCTAGTCCTATGGCTTCTTCGAACTTAATGTCAAATGTTTCTGGTACAGGTTTGAGTGGCTGGAATAATCTTCCTCCAGAGGTGAACACTTCTCATATTTCTTCTTGTTACATTTAAACTTTACATTATCAACTTATGCTTGTCACTGTTTGAGTATTTTTTGGTCCATGTAGCCGAGCATGCGTTTTTTGATGCTCAATAGAGCATATGACTGGCTAGTAACTATAATATGTGCTCAGTTCACAAAATGGTTGTCTGATAGAATTGGACACTTTTCATGATCACAGTAATAGTCCATTGGAAGCCATGCATGTGCTATATAAAAAGCTTCGAACTATTGTGATATTTCACATTTAAATTGACTGTTTAAGCATAGTAATCAGATAAAACAGTGCAATCTTGCAGTCACAATGTTATAAGTCAAAGTTCACTTAACTACCCAAAAGGATGTTACATTCTTGCTGGAAGCGATGCATCAATAAATTTACAAAAGATAAAGTGCCCTAAAGTCCTTCATGGGTTGTATGGATTTTGTTACCAAAAAGAGAGTAGGGGAGAGAGAAAGGTGGGGGAGGAACTGAGAAGATAAGGGACTAGAGGAAACGTGATACTAAAAGGTGTATTATGCCATAGCCTAAATTACAAAACTACTGTTGGTTATTAATAGGTGCCTCCAGCTGTCATGTCACTAACGCTTATGCACTCTAACTACCATAACTACTAATTCACTATACTTTTTCAATTACTGTATTGACACTTCCTCCCCTACAAGACCCTGTTGAAAGATAGAACATAGTATAATATCAATCCAAGATAAATTGCATCATTGAAATTTATGAAACCAGACCCTTGCAACATCTTCAGAAATCTCTCTTTCTACCATAAGACCCCTTACAATCTCCCCTTGAATTCCTTCCACAATTGACCTCTACCTACCGTTCCCATTTTAGGCTTAGCACTTTGACCTTCTGTCCATCCAAACTTCCTTGATGTGTTGGGGATTATGAAATAATAGATAAACGTTGCCACTATCAATTAAAATCTGCAGTGCTTCCCTCCTTACTTGGCCCTGTACCCTCACAAAGGAGGAATCTTCAACTCTTTCAAAGACATGTCAGGGGTTGCAGAGAGACTAAATCCCTTCCCCATCACCATTTTTCACTACTTGGGTAGCATTTTATTCTGGTTTTGCCAACTGATGCGCACAAATATGTAACAAATACGTGACGGACTTTGCAAGTGTATGGGTTGTAGTTTGTATGAGGTAAATCAAGCTCATTCTCACAGAGAATCAAGTTAATTGGTAAATAGGCATTAAATTTTTCATTTTCATTTAAGTTGAGCAAATCAATTTAACGGTGAGCAAGTTGCAAATCAAGTACTTAAAAGCACTAAAATTGAAGTTCCAACAGTCACAATAGTGAAGGCAACCTAGGGTAGCTAGTCCCTTCTTCAATTCATAGAGCATGCAATTACACAATTAAATGCACTTAATATTAGTTTGTTAATATAGAGTATTAATAGGAATAATTGTCTTTTGATTAATTACATCACTTTCTTGAATTAAAAATGTTATTTCAACACAATTACTCAAGAGGCACAAAAGCACAAATTCACTCTAATACAATTATATGGGTTCAGCAGGTATATTCCTATCCTATTGGCAAATTAAAATAAATTTTAATCCCACATTACTCAATCTAATGGTTTAATTTAGATTTCCCTTTTCCAAGGAAAAACCCAAACATCCAAATTCATATTCAATGGTGACCAAGGATTAAATAGACAGATAAGCACAATATTAAATAAACAAAACTAATATTAAGCTCAAATAAATGATTCATACATATTCTAATAGAAGAATCAGGTTAGAGCTATTCTAAATTAAGAAAAAATCAGCCACACATGACTCTAATGACAAAAAATCTCCACAATATATATATATATATATATATATCAATGTAAAGAGAAGAAGGAGAAGAAATGCTTCATCTAAGCAATCTTGAGCTAAACCCTTGATTTCCTACTAAACCTAAGCTTTCCAACCCTCCTTTGGCTCTTCTCCTTCACCCTCGATGTGCTGCAGCTACTGGAGGGTCGGAACTGTCGAAAATGAGGTCTCAACCCTTAAAATTCACTGTAGTGAAGTGCATTTTTGCTGCAACAAACATTATCTGTGCAGAATTCTTTTTCAGCTCCAAACTCTTGAACTTGGCCTTTTATCTTGACTATTTTAGAAACAAAATACACATGAATTAGTGCAGAAAATTACTATACTCCTCTATTTTAGACATTAGATGCTTGTCATCAAATTTCCTTAATCTCTTGTAAATATACACCCACTTAGTCAATAAAAACACCTAGATGACTCTCATTTTAATAAAATTGCGAGTGAAAATTAACAAAATATTTGGGATTCTTGCATGTATATTCAACATTACTTCCTCACATTTTAGCTTCCTCCTCTACTAAACCTAGTGGCATTCTTTGAATTCCTCCCTGTATCTTGCTCACTAATCCCTTGACTTCCACCGCCTAAACTATTAGAATTATTGAATTGCAAAGGTGGCTTGCTCTTACATTTCTGCATGATGATTTCTGGGAGCCCAGTAATCCTTCTGGCTTCAAGCAAGGTGGCAAGTTTAAAGAGCCACACCAAACCCACAAGATCTTCCTTGAGATTTGACATTTAGCAACTTATAAGATGGCTTTTAGGTATAGAAGCTTGCTGGAAATGTGGTTGAACAATTCATTGGAGTCAGTCAAACTACCATGCTGCCTTAGCACCATGACGTGTTCCATTGGATCTTTGCAAAATCTGAATTCATGTTGCATAGCGCCATTGTGGCCCCTTTGCAAATTTGTGGGACTCTAAAGATTCTGTTACGCATTGCCCTATTCATGCACCCTCATGGTCCCTGTTACTTGTGCTGACAGACCCACCTTTAATTATTGGACCTCTGCTATGAGACGCTTCACACTAGACAACCTCCCATTGATGTCTTTCATGCCACTTTGCTCCATTGTTGAACCTGCTCCTTCAAGTCTCTCAAGGATGCTTGTGTCCGTCATGTTGGTCTCAGGATAGACAGCTTTAATGCCACTATTACAGATAAGATAAGAGAGAAGGGGGGAGGGAGGGAGGGAGAAAGAGATGGAACCATTGGTTATTTATAGACACCTCCAGTGGTCATGCCACTAACGCTTATGCTATCTAACTACCATAACTACTATTACCTATGCACTCACAATTACTATATCAGTTTTTCTGTGTTTGAAATACGTAATTTGATAGGTATTAGTAATTGGGTGGATTTTTTAGGGTTTATATGTAAAAATAAACATATTGTGTGCAAGTGCACGGGGCGAGTTCCTTGCTTTCACCTGAAAGGTGCTAAAAGGCTCTGTCAAACAAGAAACAAGGCCCATTGCACCTGTCCCTGTGCTTCCCCCTGTCCTTCCTAGTTTCTCCTATAATATTTGCAGGAGGTTTTTTATACTCACACCCAGTATTTGCATATGATTTGATCACACTGAGAAGATGAATCTTTTCTTTGAATGATTAATTTAAAATGCTGATAATATCATGAGATCAAACTATATTAATTCAAAGGATGAGTTGTCTAACTGATCATGTTGTTAATATATTATCCATGAAAAACGTTTGTATGACCTGCAGATGACTGACACAGCCTCTTTCAATGACCCTCATTGCATATTGATATATATTGTTTGTGTCACTCATTTCTGTAAATTTATTAATTTCTTTCCAGTATTTGTTCCCTTTAAAGAGAATTCTGGTGCTTTGCTGATTTCATTTTTATCAAACGAAAAAAATAAGGGTTACCTTCACTTTGCTTGAAAAGCAGAGATTATGTGGACCCCTTGGAATGACGATGGATTGGCAAGGTGCTCCTGCAAGTCCTAGTTCATACACTGTGAAGAGAATCTTACGCTTGGACATTCCAGTAGATACATACCCCAATGTAATCTTTTTATACAAATTCCAGTTGTACACTGTCAAATTTGATTACTTGATCATGCACCTGTATTGCATCTTCTCTGAATCTGGAAGTTTTTTGATCTAGAAGTAATGGAAATTTTTTTACTTGTTTCATTAGTTCAATTTTGTTGGAAGACTTCTGGGACCTAGAGGCAATTCTCTGAAGCGAGTAGAAGCTACTACTGGTTGCCGTGTGTATATTAGAGGAAAGGGATCGATAAAGGATCCAGATAAGGTAATGCAAACCTAGTTATGATTTTCCAGGTCAAATATTGGAAGTCCAAAAAATTCCTTTTTTTTTTCCCGTCTTTTTGATCCAGTGTGTGACAAGTGAAACTGACTCTTGTTTCATCATTTTTTTGTTTTCCAAATCTCAAGGAAGAGAAATTGCGAGGAAGACCAGGCTATGAGCATCTCAATGAACAGCTGCACATTTTAATTGAGGCTGATTTACCTGCTAATGTTGTTGATTTAAGGCTCAGACAGGCGCAGGAAATTATAGAAGAATTGCTCAAACCTGTGGTATGTATATTACCTTAACATGTAATGTTGAGTAAGCTGGCAGTTCTGTCTTACTTTGCCTAAAGATCATCATCAATGTCCAGAAAAGGGCCCACACACATAGGTTATATCTTTGATATGAAGATTCACGCTTTTATTAGTCATTTTAAACGTTGCAGTTTGGTTTTTTGGTTTCCTTGGCTGAGTGCCATCATTTGTTTTTCGAACTGTGGAAAACCAGTTTAGGGGTTGAATTAGTTAGGCTACATTTTGCACATGAGAATGGAAAAAGGAAAGAATAGGGAAGGGAACAGCTACCTATTTAAATATTGATCTATAGGTAAATACACGATGTTTTTTATCAGCTTTAAATACATGATTTTACTTTAACTACTTATATTTTTAACTTTTTTGTAATTTTACATAATTATCTTATGATATTTTCAGTTAATAAGATTATCTTTAAAAAATTTTAACCCCCCTCACCCAAAAAAAAAAAAAAAATCACATGCTGGTTCGGCCCTTGGATATAGGGATTCGAATGAAAATGATAGGGAGTCTAATGATTCCATCGCAGCTTTGAAGGGATGTCACTGTATATTTTGGAATCACATGAGAAAAGTCTAATTGTCCTTAGATCTATTCTAAAAGTCAGCTTCGCATAATGTTGCAATGACCCAGATTTTGCTTGTAAGAGGAAATTTTTATAGGGGTATTTGAGTCTACAACTTTGTTTCCATTCCTATCTTAATTTTATTGTGCCAAACATTATTTGGAGAAGTAATCCTTTTTTCACGCATCTCAATAATCATTTTTCTGTACTTGTTATCTGATGGAACCAGGGCAAATAGACATAGGGTCCAGAGTTGTTGTTATAGTGGGTGTGAGGTGTCCAAAAGGATACAAAAAGGGTATTAATAAAAGGTCAGTACCTCACATGTGTCATGACTTGCTGGAGAGACAATGGGATTGAAACGGATGAGTGAATGATGAACGAATGCCTTCATAACTTTCTACATAAATGTCAGCCCGGAAACTCCTGTAACCCTTCCTAAGCTGTAACTCCTAATAATGAGCTATTTGTATTCCTGAAACTCCCATTTTAGCTTTAAGCTTTTTGTCTATTACTAAAGCCTCTAGGATCAGTATAAATGGGCCTACTTTTCTTGTGTTTTGCATCATCAAGCAATAATAGAAGAATTTTCTTTCATTTGAGAGTTTTCTCTCTTTCTGAACCAGTTTGGTATCAGAGTGTGTTCCAAAGACAAGGGAGTGTCTGAAATTTCGTCTGAAAGTGAGAATTTGAATTAGTCTGGGAGAAGCCATCACCGCTGCCAAAAAAAACTTCAATTTCCTATCACTTTTCAGCCAAATAGATATCACCATCAACCATCGTGTTCGAGAGGCTGAAAAACCTTAGGCACTGAGGGCGCGTAATTGCACTGTGGGTTTAACTCCATTTCCTTATTACATGAAGTATCGTGATTGGATTCCTCCCCCCACCCTGATATCATGAAGAAAGGAGTGGACAGAATGAAACTTCATTTGTGTGAAACCAAACAGGTGTTAAGTAAATACAAGCCAAGAAATCAGGGATATGCATATCAGAATCAGATCCCAGGATATTTGACTATTACAGGATAAAATAGAATTAAATGCTAATTAACTCTAATTTAATATTCTGATTTTCCACAAGGGGTTTTAGAATGATATTCAATCTTACTATGATTGATCATGTCACCATCTTTTTTGGATCCAAAATGAGTAGTCAAATATTAATGATAAAATTAAAACATTTTCGTCTGTCAATGAGTGTATAAAATAGTGCCTATGGCGGTTTGGAAGATTTGGATCTAGTGAATGATCTTAGATCTACTCACTATCGTTCGATTTGATCAAACGGTTGTACGAGATTTTGTTGTATAATATATTAATATTCAATTCTGATCTTAAGGATTGTCTTGAATTTTTGAAGAGAAATATATCTTGATAATTTTTAAGTATTGAGAAAATATAATTGTTGTAATTGAGACATTTATTGAATAAGCCAGTTAAGCTACTCACTGAATCCAAATCCTTGTTTGGGATAGCCATCTGCCAGTGAAAGTCATGACTCATGATGATACGATGATCATGAAAATTATACTGACCAGGATCTCAGTTATGAAAAGCTCTACTTTTCTCTCCTCTTGAATGAATGTCAATATTCAATATGCAGGATGAGTCACAGGACTTCATCAAGAGGCAGCAATTGCGTGAGTTAGCTATGCTGAATTCAAACTACAGAGAGGAGAGTCCTGGACCAAGTGGTAGCAGTGCATCACCATTCAATTCTAGTGGAATGAAAAGAGCAAAAACCGGTCGCTAGAAGTATTCATTGCTGGAATACACGGTTACTATCGTCCTCCGGTATATCATTGCTGGGAGTCTCTTCCCGTAAATCTCAGTCAATGCAGCTATGAAGAGAATAGGCTAACAATTCTTGCTGTCTAGCTTTCTGGTGGTTCACTCCCCTCGGCCCTATAACATTTTTGTTATTGAACAACAGGTGACGCAGCTGGAAAGAAGATTTGAAAGGAGAATATATATATATATATATATATAGTCGTGTATTGGGTTTAGGCGGCTTCAGGTCAGTCTTTTTCTTTTAAACTTGATACATTCATTGAATTTATTCTTGTGACAGTTGCTTTTTGAGAAATTTGGAATGAGTATACATGTTATATGTATATACACACATACATAGATATATATATATATATAAAAGGCGATCAAGATTTGAGAGGGACTGCTATTTAAGGATTTATAAGAGGCGGTTGGATTCTTTTACTGGTATCCACTTGCCGTATAAAGAGAAGCGTATCTATAAATAAATAGCAACAAATATATGATAATTAGAAAAACTTGCCTTCCATTGGTAGGGAGATGTTTGCTTTAAAAGAAACAACACGTACGTACGCACGCAAAAAATACGAAAATAGAAAATAATAATATTGTTTGAAAGTGTTATTGGTTGATTGTAACATATATACAATTAAAGTTTAAATCTCTGTTGTGAGAAGAATCTATACTTGGTGTCTACAAAGTTTTGAATATGATTATATTTTTCAATTGAAAAATATTTATGTACAGTGATATATGAAACACATGTCATTTGTATAACAAAAATTTCAAATTCAATATTATATCAAGAATAAAATTGTAATCTCATTGAAGTTTGAGATGTAATGTTGAATACTATAATCTTATATGTCACCTGATAATTAAAGTAGTACAGGTGGGGTGAGATACGGGTAGAGTTTACGTTTTTTCCCCCTTATTGTATAATCAAAATGGTTGGGCTGCTAAGTAAATATTAAAAAGGACTATCAGAAGGAACAAGATTAATTTATAATTATTTGTATTTTTATCAAAATTTTCAATCAATTCGTAATATACTGCGCACACACTTCTGCTATAACATGCATGCAATCAATATTAATTCATTAATAATATTAATATATAATAAAAAATTTTTGATTATTTACAGGTAATCAACTCAAGTTTCTAGTTTTTTTAAATTTATTTTAATTTCAATTATTAATTTAATTGTTCAAATTTAATTTTTATTGATTTGGTTTTGTTTAAAGAGAAAATAACGTTGTTAAAATTGCTAACATTATAAGGAAATATGGCAGTTATATAGATTAATAAAAAAAGAAGTTAATTATTTTGGTAAAAAAATTAAAAAATTTTTAAAACAAGATAACAAAATAGAGTTTAAGGAGTTATAGTGATAAAAATTAAATTGATTTGATGGCTAATTATTTTTTATTTAGTTACATACACATGTTAACTTATTAATATACTTTACATATTAGTTTAATTTAAAAGTGCATTTGTGTTTTAAAATTTAAAGAGCTTACATAATAATTTTAAAAAAAACTATATAAGATCGAATCAATAAAAATAAAATACTGTAAAAGATCAAATCGAAAAAAATTAAATTTGAAAAACTAAACTGATAATTAAATGCTAAGACAAACTTGTGGGTTGGTTAAAAAAAATTCAATTATTTTTAATATAAACTAGAAAACTCAAAAGGTCACGACAAAGAAACAACTTAATTACCTTCATGTTATAACTCAATTACAAATTAGTCAGAAAAGAATTAGATAAATTTCTACAGGTATAAAGACCAACAGATTAAAAGACTAAAATTTAAGAAATTGGCGTGGATTAGTTTAAATTTTAAGATACAATTGTGATTAAGTTGAAAGACCTTTTTTTTTTTTTTTGGGGGGGTAAATATCTACCCGTTCACTTCTATCTATAATGCTTCTTCCCATGGGAAGGGCATGCACGCACCCACCACAGTGTCCACTCATGGGTTATTAAGTTGAAACACTTAAATGTACGTAGGCTATATAATTGGTTTTCTAATATAAAATTTATATATTCGAAGTATCACTTTTCATAATTCATCCAATAACGTCGCTCATTTCTTGAAATCTAACACACAAAGAAAGGTAATACTTATATATTTAAACTTATATGCTTAATATATTTCTACCTAGTTAAATTATAGCAAGTAGATTATAAAGTGTTAATAAAATTAATAACAAAAATTTATTATTGTTGTGTTACGCAAGTGCATGGACTGTGACAAATAATAAAGTGTGAATAGAGTATAGTTCACATGAAAATTTGTATTAAAAATATGTTCAAGTAAAAGACATTACAAATTCAATTAAGTTGAGCATACTCAAAGTGTGATGGGTGCTTAACATATAAATTAAATGAGTGAAAAAGTATGAAAAAAAAAGAAATTGATTCAAGACTTTTTGAAAGTAATTAGGTCTAAAATTGTTTATCCCTCTTTATATTTCAAAAATATTCAATCAATCCCTATTATATTTTGCTTTTAATGATGAATTATGCTAGTCAAAGATATTAAATTACATACAAGTGCTCTTCCAAGCCTTCAAGTAGGTATTGATTTTAATTAATTCCTTAATATTTTAATTAACTAATTAAACTTCAATTTTCTTTGCAAATTCTATGTGATTATGTGAGGTTAATGAGTGTATTTCTACCTCATTAACAAACCCATCTATTCAACTTACAAACTTCAAGTTCTCACACAAATTTACCTAAGTTCTACACTCAAATTATCTTTTTTAAATATCATCTAAGTGAATCCAACATCTAAATGGTGGCCAAATACTTAGAAGCATTAAGTATAGAGTACAATTCACATAATCACATTATTAATCATAAATACAAAGGAGAAATGAGTATCTAATCCATAGAAAGGGTTTAAAATAATCTTAGAATAAAGGATTTAGCTATAAATGTTCATAAAACCCATAAGAAAATACAAATATATCCATACAAACATTGAACAAGAGGAAATGAAGGAGAATGGAGAAGAAGAATCAAAATATAAAGTCAAAATCTCTTTCAATATTCATATCTAAGCTCTATCTCTACCAAAATCCATGTCCTAGTACACTTAATGCTCCAAAATACTCTCAAGAAATCTAGCATGGCAGCTAAAGTAAAAAGTGGTTTATATATACTCCAAAATCTTAAATTTACTAGCTAAATAAAATGTTTCATTTTGTTATTGTGTTAAAAGTCGTGACTTTAAAATGACTTTGACAATTTTGCATTGTTTTTGTTATTAACGAATTGAACTTTTATGCACTTGATTTTTTCATTGAAAAGCCTTCTAAAAATATTAATAAAAGTTTAAAAATGCATCCAACGAAATCTTAAACCCAAATATCAATAAATTAACTTCAAAATATCAAAATAGAGCCATGGTTTGAATTTTCAAAACAATATGCATATTTTTCTAATTTGAATATTTAAAATATGCACAATTGTGCTAAAATATATTAAAAATTCAAGAAAAATGTGTTCAAATGATATGAAATTTTAGATGTTAACAATTATAAAGTGAATAACTTGTAAAAGACTAACATATCTTAATTTAATTGAAAATAAGCATATTAAATACATGGGCTCTATGATTGATTTTCTAACATAAAATTTATGCACCAGAAGTATCACTTTTCATAATTCATTCGACAATGTCTCCCATTTCTCAAATTTTAACATATAAAAAAGGATAAGACTTATATACTTATGTACTCTAAGTACATAAGTCTAACTTGTGTACTTAGTCTTATATATATTTAATACTTATATCTAACCAAATCATGATAAATGAATTTTAATGTGTTAATAAAATTGATGACAATAATTTATTATAAAATTAATGTGTTAATAACCTATGAGGAATATATTCTGTTATTTTTAAAATTTATTCATTTTTCAAGTTTTTTATTTTGAAATTGATTAATAATCAATAAATATATAAAAATCATATATTAATGTTATTCAACTAAAATTTTTCGAATCATTTGTTAACCAATTCAAGAGAAAAATCATACTTTCTCTAGTGAAAAAATATAAGTCATTTTTAGTTAAATTTTGCTACCTAATAAAGTAATTAATTATCTTTAAATTAACACCATCTTTTTATATTTATCCTTATATAGTAAAATATTTTATTTTAAAATAAATATAAAGTAATTTATTTATTATGGATACTTTTAAAAAAAGCACATTAATTATACTTTAAAACATTAAAAATTACTTGTATTTTTAAACATTAAATTTCTCCAAAAAAAAAACTTACATTTTTTAAATGATGGAATAAAATTTATGCCAAGGTGCACATGGGCCAGGCTACATGTAATATATCGTTTTTATGAAAAGCATGGACATTTTTTATTATTTTAATTTTTCTTAATTATCTCTAAAATTTTAAACAAGCCTTCTAATTTAGCTATAGGTACATACATAAAATGATAAAATGGATGTTCAAACAACAAATCCACGCAGTATTAAAAAAAACAGAGAGAGAGAGAGAGAGAGCAGCAACCACTGGGAACGAGGAAGAGGGGTTGCTAAACGTGGTGTGTTTCTCTTCATTTTTTCCCTACATTGCTTCTCCATGATAAATTTGAGTCATTGAAATTAAAATTAAATTTTAAAAAATTATTAAATTTAAATTTTTAAATTTAATTTAATGATTTAAATCTATACTGGTCTTTCTTCTGCTCTTCTTTACAAAGAAAAAAAAATCCAACTCCTTCCTAACTTCCCCACCTATTGTCTCCAAGTGCATGTTTAGAGAGGTTCTATATTCAATTTTATAAATCTAAAATCTTGGTAATTTATTTACCTATCTAAAATTAATTTTGATTAAAATATCTATACATTTTTAATTTTATTAAAATTAATTTTTAAAAAATAATGTTCAAATATTAATCAAGTTATACTCTCTCCGTTAAAAAATATAAAATATTTTTTAAAAAGTTAAATATTTAAAAATATAAAATATTTTTAATTTTTTGATGTGTAATCATTGTCTTTTTTTTAAAATATCTCTATTAATAATTACTTTATATTTATTGTAATATATTTAATAAAAAATATAAAAAATTAAATTAATTAAAAAATAAATAATTATATCATTAAAATGTGAAATTTAATTAAAAATATTTTATATTTTATTTTATATCTTTTAATGGAGGGGCATATATAAATTAATTTTTTTAACAATGAATTATATTTGATTGAAATCCCAAACGTTCCCAGTTCGGGCCTGAAACGCCACGTGCAACCCTACGGCTGGGAACATGGCGCATTCTCACTCCGCTTTCATGAGCTCGAAGCCCGCGGGTATAAGATTCCATCCTCCTCATTCGGTTGCGTTTTGACTATCTGTAGGGTTTGAACTTTCGAAGTTTAGCTTCCTGACCTCGCAGTCATACACACAAGCTCCCATTTGCTGTTCCTCCTCGTCCCAGATCTCAAATTCCTGATCTATCATCTGCCAGTACTTTTTTTTATTTTTATTTTTATTGCTTTTCATCTTCTTCGAATCCTCAATGGATGCTCTTGTTTTGAAGTTCCAATCTAGGTGATCTGATTTTTTCCTGTGTTTGCTCTCTTCCAGATCTAGGATCAAGTTGATATAGCATGGCGGCCGTGGCTCAGTTGCGGTTTTCTCCTCTGTCTGGGCATGACCGTTCGGTTTCGGACCGTCACGCACATCTTACCCGCCAAGTCTTTTCTTTCGCATCATCCCTTAACATTCAAAATCGCTCTCTATATCTCATCAATAGCTTGAAGATTTGTGATCACAACTTTCCGGAAAAATTGCGGCTTTCATACGCTGGAGGCGACGGCAGCAATGGGATTGGAGGCGGCGGCTGCGGAGGCAGCGGCGGCAGTGACGGGAACTTTGATGACTCGTCGTTGTCGTCTGAGGGCTTTGGTATCCTGGGTCTGTTTCTAAATGGATGGAGATCGAGAGTTGCGGCAGATCCACAATTCCCTTTCAAGGTTCTGATGGAAGAGCTGGTGGGAGTGAGCGCTTGTGTTCTTGGCGATATGGCTTCACGTCCTAATTTCGGATTGAACGAGCTGGATTTCGTTTTCTCAACCATCGTGGTGGGATCTATCATGAATTTCACACTCATGTATCTGTTGGCGCCCACAATGTCATCCTCTTCGTCGAGCCTACCTGCGATCTTCGCAAGTTGTCCCAAGAGCCACATGTTCGAGCCAGGGCATTACAACATAGTGAATCGATTTGGCACTTTGGTGTACAAAGGAACGGTGTTTGCGGCTGTGGGGTTCGTTGCCGGACTCGCAGGGACTGCAATATCAAATGGGTTGATCGCGATGAGGAAGAAGATGGATCCCGCATTCGAGACAGGGAACAAAGCTCCACCTACACTATTGAATGCCCTGACATGGGCAATTCACATGGGTGGAAGCAGCAATTTGAGATACCAAACTTTGAATGGGCTGGAGTTCATGTTGGAAAGGGGGCTTCCTGCATTTGCATTCAAGTCGTCAGTGGTAGTGCTGAGGTGCGTGAACAATGTTCTGGGAGGCATGTCGTTTGTCGTATTGGCGAGATTGACAGGGTCACAGAGTGTTGCTTCTGAGAAGCCTCCGGATGTGTTGGTTGCAGAGAAGGAGGGGTTGGAGGATGGGCAAAGGCAAGAGGATTTGGAGATCAACCAGTCGACATCGAAGTGACGGAGGAGATCATCTTTCATGATTTGTTTTGAGTGAAAGCCACCGTCTTCAGAATTGCCCAACTAGTCAAGAGATGAGGCTCGATAACACTAGTGTTATTCTTGGTACAAAATTAATGAAATAGGTCTAATATTTTAGGTGCAAAATAAAAAATATTGCTTATTTTGATGGCCATAGCAAATATGCAAGATGGAAGGAGGGGGATGGAGATGCAGAGCGATTTTGCAGGTTTGCTGGGGCTGACGGGTCCACCTGGCTATTCAGGTTGTCGTTTTGAGAAGAATAATGACAACTGTCGTTCAAATTTCAGTTGTTTCTTTCGTTTTCCCCGGAGGAAATTCCAACCATTCAGCAGCACTAGTATGAACAACTTTTTGTCTTGTTTTTTACGTAAACATTATTGCCGTGCCGGCTATGGTTTCTTTTCTAGGTGAGATTGCCAACTTTCTGCCCTTCCACCAACTGTTCTACTATCTTTCTCTGGGACTATTCATTTCACTGTCCACGGTGTTGTTCTTTATATCGCCTGCTTTTTTTTTGGGGGGGGGGGGGTAATCTATTGGCTGCTATCTTAGCAAATACCAGAATATTTGTAAAACTACTTGCCAAATTGTGTACTTTAAAACTGAGTAGTTTATTTATTTAGTAAATAAAGTAAATATAATTATCAATATACTCTCTCCATTAAAAAAATATAAAACATTCCCTTCATTAAAAAATATGAGACATTTTTTGAAGAATTTGATGTTAAAAAATATAAAATATTTTTAATCTTTTGAAATGTAATAATTTTTTTTCATAAGTGTCCCTATTAATAATGACTTTATATTTATTATATAGTGTTTAATAGGAATAAATATAAAAAGATAGAGTTAATATAAAAGTAAGTAATTATTTTATTGAGGGGTGAAATTTAGTTAAAAATGTTTTATATTTTTAAATGAAGAAAGTATATACATACATATATATTTAAAGGTAATAACTACTCTACATTTTTTGGTAATGAATATTTTTAGCGGCGCCTATGAATGATTATTGCTACTACAATCCTTTAAAAATGTTAATTATAATATTAATAGTATGTTTTACAACAGATGATGTATAAAAAATGGTCAAGAAAATAATGTATAAATTTTTTTTACATATGTTAATTTGATTGAAAATAAGTATTTTAAATATATAAGACTTAGGGCTTATTTAATTTCTGTTTTCAAAATTTATTTTTATTTTTTTAAAAGGGTCAAATGCATTTTTGCTCATGAACAATTCTTGGAAGAGTACCCAATCTAGTACCTTAAATTATTTGTTGAAGCATTTTTACTTTTAAAGTAATTAAATTGGAGCATCCTTTACCCTAGCATTAAATCCTCAAAAATGTTTATTAAATAAGAGTTCAATCCAAATTAGCTTTTTCTAACAAATATTTTTGGGGATTTAGCTGCAAGTAGAGGATGCTTCGATTTAATTATTTTAGAGGCAAAAATGTTTCAACAAAAACTTTAGAGTACTGAGTGTTTATCAAAAAATATTTCAAGAGCAAAAGTGTAACACACCAAATTTTTTTTTTTAATAATTTAACTCAACCATAGTTGGGTTACAGCCACCCAACACATTTTTATATCAATAATTTCGATATAAAATATTTTATAATTGGCTTCAACTCACACACTATAACATTTCAGATAAATTTTTACCTCCCACATGCCATTAGGCTAAATCACATTTGTCCATCCTTATACTCCCAACAAGTAAACTAAATCACATTTGTCCATCCTTATACTCCCAACAAGTAAAATAAGCAATTTAGTCAATTTTCAACACAAGCCAGTTATTTGGCCTTATAATCATGCCATTTTAACCAATCCAAAGTAAACCAAATATTAAAATTACGGTCATCCAAATTGTACCAAAAATAGAAATAGTTTGAAAGGCATGATTACATTTATATATTCATATAATTGACAATAAACAAAAAGCCCTAATATTGACAATATAACACATTATAAATCATAAATTAAATATCCAAAAGAGACAGTGGATCTATACCACTAAGCCTCTGGGACTCCTCCACGTGTCACTCGTGGCTCTTCTCCTGAAAATTGTTAACCACATAATGAGACTCAAAAGTCCCAGTAACCAAAGCCAATTTATGATAGTGTATACAAACAGTTAAGTGTGTGCTTACTAAGTGAGAATTAAAAATAATATAATTCCAACAAATATATGAAATATTATAATAAACACAAACAACCATCCTTATATCCCTCCATTAACATCGAGCCGTAGCCCTCACTCGGTGCTAAATTACCCGGCCAAAGGTAGATTAGCCCGAGCCCTTACAAACCACCTATTGAGCTCCAATAGGGGCGTACCATGTGGCACATAAATACAATAACAATAGCAAGTCTCCCAACACCTCCCACAATAATCAAACAAATTCATAATAATATTGCACAATTATACAATATTACAAAATTCATAATTTTCTCAATAATCACCCAATTAACATGAAGTAACACTGATCACAAATTAAAAGCATGGTTATCTTGTGGCTTTTTCAATAAATTATTCCTTAAAATTTCTCTCTCACCACAATCTTCACCAGTAATACAATCTACAAATAACATATTATTTATAAATATTAGTTTCAATTTTTGAAACTAATAAAATAATTCTAATAATAGAATTAAAAATATAACATAATTCTTAATCTCAATCTTAATACAAATCTATAGTTAATACTATTAAGTAAAATTTTTAACTCCTCTTTTAATTATCAATAAACATTAATAATCTAAAAATCAACTTCTAAACTAATTTTTATTATCAAAATTTTTTTTTATTTCATAAATTCGTACCTAAAATACTCAAAAAATAAAAATTAAGTCTCTAGCTTAGAATCATAATCCTATAGCAATAATAATTCATTTTTCATCCCAAATAATCATCTAAACCTCAATAAATCAACATATATTTTCAGATCTAGTTTAGAATTTGATCCATAAGCCACAGATTCAAAGATCATCAATAAATTTATACTCTAGAACATTTATTATACTACTGACAACCTCAAAAATCATATTTATTCAACATAAATTCATCCCTCTTCCAGATCTTAAATTTTCTACCACTACAAACTCAGAAATCAAAGAAAAAGGATGACTAAGAAAAAATTTTAGAACACTTACTTAGTCTTGAAAAGCTTAAAATCACACCCTAAATATCCTATTAAAAACTCTTACCTTAAAACCCAGCACCGGTGAATTTGGCTCACAGATGCTCTCTCTCTGTCTCAGCTTGCGCGCAGGAATGAATGAGGAAATGAAGGAAGGTGAGTTTTTATAAAAATTCAGTGGGTCCCACACATTTTTTTTTATTATTTCTTCTTCTCTCTCCCCTTTTTTTTATTATTATTTTATATTTACTATTCATGCGGCGCCGAAAGCAAATTCGTTTTCTCTTCTTCTTCCTTTTTTTTTGGCATACCTTTTCCCCTTTTTTTATTATAATAATAATTTAATAATTTTTTTAATTAATTTTTTTAATAAATTTATTTTTTAAAAAAAAATTTTTAAATTTAGAATTATATCTTAAATTAGATTTAATAATCATTTTCTACTAATTTTCTTACCTCTAAATATTATTTTTTTTTAAATTTCTATTAACCTAAATTAACTATTAAAATTTAAATTGGGATGTTACAAAAAGTACACTTTTATTCTTTTTAAAATGAAAAATAAAATTTTTTTGGATAAATGTTTTGAATTTAAATATTTTTAAACTGTTCTATTTTTTAATTTTTAAAATACACTAAATTTGATTTTTATAAATTGCTTTTAGTTATGACTAACTACTATTACATGCTATCATGACAATCACTCTATTGGTCATTTTCTTATCTCATTGTTTTCAAATTAAAATAATCAGACATAGTTTTTCATTTTTATGGTAAAAAATTTTTTTATTTTATTTTTTAAAAAATATTCTTACAAATAAAATGTAGAACAAAACCAAAACAAGTATTCCATGTGTCCTGAATTATAAAATAATTTGACATAAGATAATTTGACACTTTACTAACTTACTTTTTTAAAATGAAACTGTAAACTTTTAATAATACCCCCTACATGATTAATTATTACACTAAAATATCATTTCAATTATCTCTCTACTTAAAAGGTAATATTAAAAAAAAAACTTTTAATGAAACTTAAGTTTTTACAAATTGTCTAATACTTTTTTTGTTAAAAAATGTAAAACATTTTTTAAAAAATTAAATATTTAAAAATATAAAATATTTTTAATATTTTAAGATATAATCATTACCTTTCTTTTTAAAATATCCTTATTAATGATAACTACATTTATTATAAAGTGTTTTAATAAAAATAAATATAAAAATATAAAATTAGTTGAAAAATAAATAACTACTTTATTAAAAGGTAAGATTTAATTAAAAATACTTTATATTTTTTAACGAAGAGAGCATTTTGAGAGACAAAATTCCTTTAAAATTATCTTATAATTTAAAGCAAAAGGAGTACTAAGTATATATGTTTTTTCCCCTTAAAATAAATAGATGCAATTTCAATCTGCAAAACAGCCAAGGCAAATCGATGTAAACATATCAGTGCGCACGATATACAAGGAAACAAACATCAAATGTTGATAAAACTTTTTTTTTATTTTTTATTTTTTATTTTTTGGGCGGGGGGGGGGGGGGTGGGGTTTGGTGGGGAGTAAAATACTGGAACCCTGCGCCACCGAATAAGAAAAAATTTTGCATGATTGTGGAATACAGTCTTCTCACTGCCTGCAGATTCAAGAAACTGCGAGCTATTGAACAAAAACCAAAAAATTCAGAGAGAAGGGGAGGGGGCAAAAAAAGAGAAACAAAAAGAAAAAACCACGACCACACCAATAATTGCAGCATTGATGACAAATTTTTTATACTCGCAGATCTGTTGGGTTCCCGCCTTCCTGGACCAAGCTGCTGTTGCCGCAACGTCAACCAAGGGAAAAGATGCGAAAGCAGGCTTTGCAAGTTCGAAATTAGTACTTTGGGTACCAAAACATGCCTTTAATGCCCTCAGGATCAGGTTCAAAACCTAAATTGCGATAAAATTCCACAACTGCATGTAATGAAAGAAAGCCGAGTGAGACTCCAGCTTTGTATTTGCTCCTCAAGAAGGAGAATGAGATTTCAAACTTTCAATTAATACTAATGCATTTATTTTCCAGTTAAGAAGGAATGAGTAAATTTAAGTTGCATAAGAACTATTTACACAAGGACTAGTACTGGTCAGAATTGAAGTAACAATTGTGAAGAGAATGGAAGCGGAATGAAAATCCTGCAGCAGTCACAAACTGAGGCAATGAGACTACGTATAATTCAGAATATTCCCAAGCGGAGGTTCTTTCAGAAAGTTATGGAATATCTATCAACTTAGGCCGAACCACAAGATAACTTTGAATTGATGCCACATGCCAAACGTATTGTCCATGTTCATGTAAGATTCAACATATGTTTGTTGTTGAAGGCCTAACATAACCTTCTTTTTTTATCTGGGCATGGGACCGATTACAAGACATAGGTAGAGTTTATTTAAGTTTTTGGTGAAGTACAATAGTGTAATGCAATTCATGTAGCTAACCCTATTTAAAAAGATAAGGCTTGTTATTATTGTTGACTCCAGAAACATACACACTAGCCTGCACTAAACTTGGACCACATATCGAACACCAAAAAACATTATGCATTAAGGTTGTTAATATTGCTATACCTTGACTATCTGCAAATAGAGTTATATTTCCGATGTCTCTTTGCAGAAGAGCCCGAATCAATTTCTCTACAAGCGCCTTACCAAGGCCTTGGCCCTGTACATCAACAAAAACGTAACTAAGCAACTTTAATTCATATATAGCCAAAATTACTTGTACTTCTGAACAAAACCAGGATCCAAGACTAAATTGACTGGAAACTTGAATTGGAATAATGTTTCTACAATTCACCCAAGAAGCTAGAGTCAAGCATGCAACCTGGCTTCCTTTATATTTAGACACACTTATTAAACCCAGCACACTCTCCCAGCAGACAGCAGAAAAATACTGGTTCCCAAAAGACATAATGATGGTTAAGAGCATAGCCCCCCCCTTTTTCCTCTTGCTCTTGCTTTTTCCTAGATTAACATTTTTAACTACATAATCTAAATTATACTTCGAACTGTGCACTGCAACATTGCATTAGGAAACATACACTCCCTACAAAACAAGATCGGCTATCAATATAATCCTAATTCAGTCTTTACTGTGATTACTTCATTAGCCTAGAATACAAGACAGAAGCATTTGAGAATTTGCACAATTCATTAAGAAAGTGAATCCTCCAATAACTGGTCAAAAAGTCTTTGATCAGAAATCCATGTTCAGTTGACTGAAAATACCTGATAGCTAGGATCAACGAGGACATCCCATATTGTAGCATTGAAGGCATGGTCTGATGTTGCACGGGCCACGCCAATTAGTTTCTTCTCATTTTCCTCTGTCAAATAACTTCGCCAAGTACACTAAGATGTTCTTCAAATAGGTTTAGATACTGACAAGCATAAAGTACAAGCTCAGCCAACTAATTGATTTAATGGGCAGACACTGCAGATGTCATATTCTCTTACCTGAACCTGAACCAGTAGACTTTCTGATGGAATGCAGTGATGCCACCATATAGCTATTCTTCAAGGCAGCAGCTAGTTTTGACACAGGCCTCCGAGGCCACCCCACCTGCAAAAAGTGATAAAATCACTCATTCTGCTGACTACCTCTTAGACAAAGTGACGAATATAATTTGTTAACTTTAAATGTCCATTATTAGAGCCCAAAATAAAAGATTTGATACTTGTGAATAAGCAATGTAAAAATAAGCAGACTTGAACTAGATGTTGGTCATTCTACTTTTGAAAATAAATAAAGAAATAAGTACTAATTCCTAAATCTTGTCATATGGACAATCAAGAGATAATTTGTGAGTGTGTTCTTGTCTAGAATGGGCTTCAAAACATTCTTAACAGTAGTTATCCTAGGAGTAAGCATGGAGAGCTTGGTCTGGCATGGCTATGTAGAAATGGGTAGGGCTAGGCCAAATGAAAATTTGTAGCTTTGAGTCCAGCATGACTATGGAAATACTAACATCTTGTGAGAGAATATGGCTAAAAAGATAAGGGAGGTTGCAAAAGTAGTTTTGGGAGAATCAAAAGGTTTTGGTCTGAGAGATAAGGAGTCTTTGGTGGTGGAATAATAGTATATAGGATAAAATCAAACATAAAAAGAACTATTTTAAAGCCATACATTTGTGTAATAATGAGGAAAATTGAAAAAAGTATCGTATGGCTAAAAAAGAAACTAAGAGAGCTGCAAGTGAAGCTCGTTCTAAAGCTTTTGAAGAATTTTATAAGAGTCTTGAGACAAAGGAAGGAAAACGAAACATTTATAAAATTGCCAAGAGTAGGGAAAGAAAATCAAGAGACTTAGAACAGGTAAGATGTATAAAGGACGAAGAGAGAAGAATTTTAGTTACAGATGATGAAATTAAAAACAGATAGGAGACTCACTTTTCCAAACTTTTCAATGATGAAAAAGGTTCGTCTAGTAACTTGGAGGATTTAGTAACCCGTGAAGGATAACAAAATTTGTCATTCTATCAAATAATACGTGATAAGGAGGTAAAGGAAGCTCTTAAGAAAATAGCAAAGCCAACGGACCTGATTGTATATCTATTGAAATGTGGAAATGTTTAGGTAAAAAAGATATGAGAAGGTTAACTAAGTTATTTAATGTAATTTTACAGTTCAAGAAAATGCCTGACGATTGGAGGAGAAATACATTAATTCTTATTTATAAAAATAAAGGGGATATTCAGAATTGTACTAACTATAGAGGGATTAAACTCATGAGCAACATAATAAAATTGTGGGAGAAAGTAATTGAGTATAGGTTGAGATTGGAGACAAGTATTTCTGAGAATCAGTTTGGTTTTACGCCAGGTAGATTGACTGCAGAGGCGAATTATCTATTAAGGGAATTAATGAAAAAGAATCATTGTAAAGATAAAGATTTACACATGATTTTTATTGATTTGGAAAAAGCTTATGATCATACACCAAGAGACGTGCTTTGAAAAGCCTTGAAAAAAAGGGAGTATGGATTACTTATATTAAAGTTATACAAGACATGTATGAGGGGGTAAAAATTAGTATAAGAATGTCCAGTGGTCAAACAAAGGACTTCCTATAAAAATTGGACTATATCAGGGATCAACTTTGAGTCCTTATTTATTTAACTTGGTCCTAAATGATTTGATAGAAAATATTCAAGGAAAAATTCTCAAATGTATGCTTTTCGCGAATGATATAGTTCTTAGAGCAGAAATAAGAGAAGAGAGTAATTGTAAACTTGAATTATGGAAGAAGATATTGGAGTTGAAAGGTTTCCATTTGAGTAGGAGTAAGATGAAATATTTATATTGTAAATTTGATAACAAACTAGTCGACAGTAATTTGGAATTGAAATTCAAAGATTAAATTATACTTCAAGTGAAAAGTTTAAATATTTGGGTGCCATTATTCAAAATGATCGCAAAATCAATGGAGATATTTTACATAGGATTCAAGTTGAAGGGTTTAATTGGAGAAAAGCTAAAGGAGTTACTTGCGATCGTAAGGTGCTTAATAAACTTAAAGAAAAGTTTTATCATACTGCTATCAGACCGGCTATGTTATATAGTAGGGAATGTGGGCTTTAACTGAACAACAAGAATATAAAGTTGGAGTAGCAAAGATGAGAATGTTATGATGAATGTGCACACATACATGTAAAGATAAAATTCAAAATGAGCATGTATACAAAAAAGTAAGGGTAGCACCTATTGAGAAAAAAATAGCAGAAAATCGTTTGAGATGGTTTGATCATGTACAAAGAAGACCGCGAGAGGTACCAATGAAAAGAGTGAAACATAAATTTTGAGTCCGGTTAAGAGGGGTAGAGGAAGGCCTAAGAGAACACTCTTGAAAGTTGTTGAACGCGATCTCTTAATTAATAATATTTTTAAAAGCTTGGTAAATGATAGAGCACAATGGCGTCATGCAATCCATATAGTCGATCCCACTTAGTGGGATAAAGGCTTGTTGTTGTTGGGTCCAACATAACTCAATCCTCTGCCTTTTAGAAAAGATAATTATAGGAATTTTACATAAATTTTTTATTTTTGTGGGTGGCAAGTTGCACTTTTATGAGAACATATATGAACTTAAAAAAAAAATTGAAAAAGGAAAAAGAAAAATGGGGCCAAGTTTTGGGCCAAGTTCAAGATTAGGTCTGGTTTTCTGATAGGCTAAGATACGACCCAGCCCATTTTCATCACTAGCTATTAGATAAAAAATTACACCAACATTCAAAAAAAAAAAATTATTTACACTCACCTTATCACAAAGGGCTTGAAGATCATAAACATCAATATCTCCACCTGAAGAGAAAATAATTTGTTCAATCGTTCCATCAAGTTCAGTCTTTTCTACAAGGATAAACTCTTGAGGCAGAGAATCATCATCTTCTTCATCTGTTGAGGGTGAGTCAATGACTTGTGTTGTGTTATTCTTCAACAATCTAAAACGAAGGAAGTCAATAGCCTTTTGATGTTAGAGGTTGACTAATAATCAAATGACTGTCTTTGCATTTAACAGCAAGGAATACATATATTATCAATAAAGGAAAACCTTTTATGTTGATATGTTGTAAACTCTCTATAGTGACTGCATAAAAATAAATGTGCATAAAATTGTGAAAATTCTGGATGCCAAGGCTACAAAACGGAATAGAAAATTTAAGGACAATATTAGTCAGTTACAAGGACAATTTTTCCCAATACATAAGGGTGAACTGAAGAATAAGGACCTGATCTCAAGTTTTTAATAATGAAAAAGGATTTTGGAGATTTGTCGAAGATAATGACTATGGAAATGATTATAAAAATAGCATACGATTTTCCACAGGCAAGTTTCAAAACTTTTTCCAAAATTAAATTCTTTGAAGATGACCTGGAAGAGTTAGGCCCTATAGAATCACTGCTTAATCTGTTATGTATTGTGGAAGTGTCTTCAGAATCTGTAGGCAGAATGTGTAAGCAGCTTGAATTTTGGATGGCAAAGCTTAATTTTTCAAGAGATGAAGTGCTAAATCAAGCTTTTCATATGTATATATATCTATGTATGCATGTATGTATGTTATGTATAATACAAGAATAAATCCATTAGACAACAAAGTATTTCTTCCTTCTCTTTTCATTTATGACACTCTGCACATTAAAGATGTAATTTTAGTGCACAGAAGGGGTATCCAAAAGCAGACAACTGCACCAGATGATTACAAAAAAAAAAAAAAAACTGCATGATTTATTGAAGGTACCCAGTTTTTATTGATTCCCAGAATCCAGCCTTGAGCTGAAAAGTCTTGAACTTTCTACTTGCTGCAATGAAAAGAGAGAATGCCAGGGTCAAGGTATGTCAGCAGGTTTAAGTAACAAAATTCAACCATGCTACTCTTGCACTACTCAGTTACACAAGGAAAACTACTGAAAAGAAGGGGCTACAACCTACAGGTCATAGCAGAACAAGCATAAAACGTACGAGGCAGCTTATAGGAAAGCCTAAGATGTTGTCAATGGAAATCTATCCCTGGGCTGAGTCAAACTGGTTCGACTTTAAAAGCAACAACTCAACAAGATGTCCTAATATGGCCTTGAGATCCAGTCGAACTATTTTTTACGGTCCAACGTGTGATGGCAAATTAATTAAAGTTTGGCAGTATTAACTTAGACTTTTAACTTGAGTGACAACCAATGGATCGCAGATTCTGCAGAAAGGGCGATATTTTGTATACAATCAGCTGAATTATTATATGCAAACAGAAAGTATAGATATAGATGCTTCAATACAACTAAGAATAATAAATAAGATGTTCGAACCGTTCAGTGGATGATGTTATTGTACTGCGCAGACAGGCGAGTCAAACGTACCTCTTGTAAACCAACAATTTAGATTAGAAGCAACCACAAATTGACCAGACACTTGATAGCTGCCATCGAAGGGAACAACCGATAACCTACGACATATAAACTAAGACGTTGGCATAGGGAAAAAATCATTACACGCCATACACTCAAAAATAAATCAGTAGCGAGGCAACCCAGGTAACAATATTGTGACGGAAGCTGGAAATACATAGTAAGCATAAATATTAGGAAGATTGAAGTTAAAATTAGCTCATGATAGAGGAATTTGAGAATTGGGAACAGGTGAAGCTGGAGTAGAAACGAGAAACAATGGACATAGGAAACCGAAGACACGAGAAGAACTCACAAAGAAGGCCGGACTGCATCGAGGGTTAACATTTTCTAGTTGAAGAGGTGTCTGGGAGCCTAAAGAGGATATCTTTTTGCTTCCGCACTCCCACCACGATTTTTGCTGGGGACTCGCGAGTCGCTACCGCCAAAAATTTCCATTTCTTTTGTTTTATTCTTTCCTTCTTTTTTTTCTTTTTTTAATGAAACTATCAATTATTCAATTTCATTCTAAGCAACAACGCAACTTATGGCAAAACAAATACAGCCCATAAAAAATCAAGAAAAAGGGATCTTACATAACTTCGCGACCTTTAAGTAATTCCAGTTCCTGGACTGATCTTAATTTCTTTAGCAGACAAAATTGGACTTTTACGCAACTTTAATCTTCAACAATATCTGAACTCGGTTGAGAATACTGAACATTTGGAAGATCTTGGAATTTCTATCTTTACATATGAAGTGAGCTACTGTAACAGTAACGAAATACATGACATGCATGTTTCCTAATTTTGTTCACCTTGAAAGAATGTAGAAAGTGCCTACTCCGGTACTCCCATCTATTAAGCCCTCTACTCGCTAATTTAGCATTAATCCAATTTTCAACACCGCTAAAAAAACCTCCTTGAACGAATCACAAATGAAGAATGAGTGTTTAGAACTTCTCATTTTCACCATTACATGACATAACAGGTGTACGGGACAATCAATATGACAATTGTGCGAAACCGATCCCATCCTAACAAGCAGGCTATTTTTTGTGATCAACCATTAAAAAAAGAAATGCTTTGGTATATTGAAATTGTCCCACTTTAAAATGGGTTTGATACATCCGGTACCCTACCCTTGCGGTCTCTCGTACTCAAGTGCCACATGGATTATCCAGCCGGATGCCATTATGAAAACTACGTTCAAATTTGCTCTTCAGATTCCTTAGATTTCTCCAATACCAACTCACGTGATTGGCTTCACCATTTTCTTTATGGCTCCAGAGGAATCTATAACAAATTTTACTCATTTTCTATTTTGCGAGGCAGGAGAAAGATTTAAGACCAGTATAAATACTTGGATATCAGCCTACAACGACTACCATAAGAAAGAAAATTGGTATAATAAGCTCGACAACCATTTTTATTTTTATTTTTTCTCTATTTTACAGGAAAAAAAAAAGATTAAACTTGCTATTCTTTTAGGCTAAAACATGCAATTTTCTTTAGTTTTTATACATATTTTTTGATACAGTAAATTATTTTAGATTCAATTAAAATAAAATAAACTATAAACACCTAATTTACAATTAAAAATTCAGGCCAAAAGAAATATTATAAGATATGCAAATTAATTCTCTCTTATTTAAAGGATAATGGTTAAACAAATTATTTATTATGCTTGGAGACGGAGGGAATAAGATCTAGTTAGAACGCAGATGAACTCCGGCTGATGATCCCTCGGTAATTGAACCAAATCAGAGACAACAGGCCGTAAAAGGATCTTCCCGGCGTTGACTTTAAGGATGGGGGTAGACGGAATGTCGGCTTATTTTCCAAATCCCGGCACTTTGTCGATTAAGGCGGATTCTCTAACCAAGATAAATAATCCTAATTTCGTTCGTGTCTGCTTTATTCCCGCCATACCAGTAAATAATTCACTCTCCCTCTTTTATATGTGGGTGTGATCATTAACTAATGTCTCGTTTGGTACAGTAAAAATAATTTTGATGAAAATAAAAATTAAAATGGAAGTGAAAATGAATGTAGATATGGAAGTAGATATAAAATTTAAAAATATATTTGGTATGTTTATGAAATTAGAAATTTTTTTATTAAATATTAATATTAAAAATATGAAAAGACTAAAATGTCCCTCATCTCAAAAAAAAAATTGCCCCAGCCCAGATCATCTGAATCAAAATAAAGTTCAAACAAACTCTAGGTCCCTCATCCCAAAAAAATTTGCCCCAACCTAGATCATCCGAATCAAAGCAAACTCTAGGTACAAGTAGAAATCAATCAAATACATTTATGCAAAAATCATGATCCATCAAAAATTACAAATGCAGCCTCCATTAATGATTGATTCAAACATGTGGAAGCAAGGGATGGCACGGAGGAAGATGACGACATCGTCGAGGTTTTGGAAACTCATTGCCCACAGCAATGTTGCTGCCATCGCTGAGGACTTCCTTGGATGCGATGGGGTTTCAATCGTCGACCAGATTGTTTCGAAAGGAAGAACCGACAAAGTGAATCTGTGAATAAGAAAACCCAAAGCACCCTCCACAACTTCTCTCTATAAATTGATAAGAGAGGGGGAAGAAGACAAAACGATAAGGAGTGGTGGAAGTGGAATCAATGAGGGAGGAGGTCGTTGATGTTGGAAAATGAGCGATGGCGGCTAAGCAATAGAGTTCAAAGATTGAACATCGAAGGTCGACCTTCACTGTTGATGCTAAGGAGGTTGGCATCATTCACTTGTGAGAAGGTGTGAGGGGACAAGAGAGAAAGGGTAAAACCTGAAATAGAATATCTGGAATTGCAAAACTGACTTTTTTTTATAGAACCCAATTCCATCAATTTTGATGGAAATGATTTCTATGTGGAAGTCAATTTCAACTTCATTTTAACCAACCAAGTATAAAAAAAATTTCAATTTCATCTCCATATCCATTTCCACTCTTCAAATTCTACCATACCAAATAGGCCCTAAGGGTGGATTGTGGATACGTATTTGCAAGAAGCAGAGTAATTGACCACTCTTACAAGCATACGAGATCATAGTATTAAATTATTTGAAGTATTTTTGGTATTGAACTTTTAGAGAAATTACACTTTTATTAATTTAGATAATTAATAGTTCGAGAAAAATAAATAAAATAGATAATTGATAAAAATCTAAATAATAAAAATAAATCAATAAAACAATAATGATAAAAACACAATCTTTTAAAACGTTGGAGTTTAGGACCTACTCTATAAGTTGTTAGTTTCTACCCTTTGAGTTAACTTTGATCAATTATAATGACAACTATTTTTAAAATGTTCTAATATTCTCTTAAATTATTAGTCCCTTCTTAATTAGCATTGAATTCGTTCCCACAATATCCAAACAACTAATTAAACCTTCTTAATTAGCATTGAATTCGTTTCCACAATATCCAAACAACTAATTAAACTGTGAAATTATAGTTTAAGTCACTACAAATTTCTAAAACTATCCCTAGCTCAGTTATTTAGATTATTTATAAATTTAATTAAATGATGACCAATCATTAAATCAACATGAAGAGCAAGAGAAATAAATATAATTAAAAAAAGTAAAAATATTCATAAATATAAATACAACGAGTCAAAATAAATAAAGTAAAAAACTAACTCCCCAATTAAATTGCATCCCTACCCTAACTGGATAATTTAAAAATACATAATAAAATTAAATAACACCATTCTAAAATTTTCAATCATAAAAAAGATCACAGAAAAAATTAAGGAGTAGAAAAAAAATAATTATAATTTATAGAACTCCTCAATGATCTCGTTTTCAGCCTTTAAAATGCTTCTATAAGTTTCAAATATCTTAGAAAGAATTTTTGAGGTATTTAAATAAGTGATTGGATCACTCCACTCTTGATGGAGGGGATATTTATAGTGAAAATGAAGGTTCCTTCTCTTATTCCTAATCAATGTGGGACTCTAATGTATATATAATATTTAATTGCGTGCTGTACCCAGAATATTTAGTCTCTAAGCATATATTTACGTGCTTGTACAATTGCTTCCTACGTTCCCTTCCTTTGTGTGTGTGTTTATATATATATATATATATATATATCTCTTTTCTTTCTTTCTTTTTTTATTAGATTTATTCTTTTTCTCTATAAAATATAAAAATAAAAAAATATGAATAAATTTTGTATTAAAATCCCTTTCTATTTTATAATTAAGTGATGAGAGGAAAATATATAACTATTAATTAAATGAAAGTGAATCTTAATAAATATAATCAAATACAAATTAAAATCTATACCTATTTAATTATAAAATATACACTTATTAAATTTCTCCACACTTAGCTTGTTGCTTGTCCTCAAACAAATACTTTTGTGTTTAGCCTTATTCCTAATATAAGTATATCAAATGTAGAACCTTTGCTAAAAGCACTAGTAAAACTTAATTGTATAACCAACCTTCCAAGTTTTAATATGAGAGAAAAAGCCAATAATTCTACTAGTATCACCACAGGGAGTGAATTTAGGTCGGATTGAGTATTTATCTATAAAATGAATTTGTCTATACCTTTAAGCCTTACCTGTTTTTTTTTTTATGAGTTAGTGCAATGGGGTCACCATTCTTAGCTATTCATAAATTGCCTTTCTTTCTTAAATAATCCTTAGGTCTTTTTGAAGCGAACCCTCATATTGGTGATACAAGAGCCTGGTTACTCAGACTTGAGAAACTTTATTAGCATACTCTTGATACTTACTAAGCTGTTTGACGCAAAGGCTGATATTAGTGATGAAGGTCCCCGGTTACTAGGCCCAGTTGGTATCAACGGAGTGGGCACTCAACATTTTTTCTTTTTTTTTAAATCATTTCCCTTTTTAATTACTTTGTAAGGCGTTAGCTTTTCAAGTATAAACATAAATAAATGGGATAAATAATTCATGCATTAAGTATAATTTTGATAAACTCTTATGGTGTATTGGTAGCCTTAAATTCTTTCTTAAACACGTAGTTATCTTTAGTAGTTATAACAAAATAAAATAGTACAAAAGAACAAACAGTTTTAAAAATAATTCAAAATTTTTCAAAATTTTTAGAATTAAGGCCAATTACGGCATATAAATTACTAAAGAAATTATAACAGCATAAACAATAGAAAATTATCATGATATACCCTCCCCCACACTTAAATTTCACATTGTCCTCAGTGTTTTGTAGAAAAAGATAAAGATAAAGGAATTGAAACTCCTCTGGTTTGGTTTGCTTTGATGTGACTCTAGTAACCTTTAAGAAGCTTTCTTTTAAGCATTATGATCTCGCAATTCATCTCAGAAGGAGTCTTAATGATCAAATAAAATTTTATGAGAATAATAGATAGTAAAAAAATTAAAATAACAAAGAAAAGGAAAAAAAATTAAAAAAATTGGGTTGCCTCTCAACAAATGCTACATTTAATGTC